GAGTGCGTGAGCTCGCCAGGCAGACAGAGAGACAGAGAGACAGAGAGACAGAAAGCGAGAAATCCTCCAGGGGGGATGGCCGCAATCCCTTCTCCTCTGATCTCCTCTTGGTATCTTGGGCATGCACGCACACACACTCAGCGTGAGTTTTAAGTCACCGGGTCCAGGATGCGAACTGCGGTCAACTACATGGGAGTCCAGCAACATAGCCATTACACTAACTGCTGGTCCCCTGCCCAGGCTCTCTTAAAGCAGCACCAGAGGGAAGGTTTTCAAGCACAGATCCAACCAGGGGTTACTACCCTCCACCCCCACAGTTCTCCTTAGCAGCTATCCTGAACCACGGGCATTTTTAGTTGGAACAGTGACCAGGAGTCACCCCTACATGTACTGCCAGAGGCCAGAGACTCTATTGCAACCTTCAGCATGCCAGTAGTGCCCCTGAAGAGTCCGAGAAAGGCCTAGCTCCCAAAAGACTAACAATTGTTCTACAATCATGTCCAACTTTTTCCCACAGCTTCCACTTACTGCCCATGCTGCCGCCCACCAGGACAGCATGTAGCACCTACACTCACCATGCCTGCTTATCACTGGCTGCCTTTACCTGCTGTCTCTCTATCAGGAAGTCCCCCCTTCCTACCCCTATCCTCAACTTAGCTAGTGCTTAAGGCATACTCTCAGTTCTGGTCTCGGCTCCTTCAGAAATCCCTCCTTGAACATCATAGCCCCTCTTGAGCTCCCAGGAGGAAGGAGGGGGGCCCTTTTGTGTCTCTAACTGCACCCTTCTATCTCTGCATTTCCACTGTGTTTTGAAACTGCCTGCTTATAGGCCTGGCTCCTCGCCTGGACTGTGCATTCTTTGAGGACAAGGACTATATCTCGTTGATCTTTTTATCTCCAGCACTTTGCCCATAGTATATCAAATGAAAGAAGGAGATGTTCACAGATAAATTCTTCTGAAGACTAGGTGAGTCCTTGATGTGTAAACAAAATCCTGACTTTGGCAGAGGCATCTACTTGTCTCTTAGTATCCAACCTACCTTCTTTCTTCTAGTGATAAGAACCCCTTGAATTTTGGCTAGACTTGAGGTCGCAAAGCCACATTACCAGACATTATAGTTCCTAGCCTAGGTGCCACGTGGTCATGTGGACAATGGGATGGAAGGAGGCATGATACATACAATGCTGAGGTCACATCCTTAAAAAAGGCAGCTTGTCTCAGGCTAGAATGCAGAATGTCCATAGACTTCACCAAATCCTTAACCCAAGTGGCAAGACAGGCAGACCTGGAGTGGAGTGACCTGCCCCAGCTCACCCATCACCTGTCCTTTTTTGTGAATAGTAGTAAATCTTCCATCTTTCTTAAGTCCTTTGTGTCTGTTTTGAGTACGCAAGTGAATTTTCTGGCTTTTTTATTATTATACCTTTCAAAGAGTCACTTAATCAGGAGACTGTATTTTCTTAGTTCCAACCCATACCCAATTTGTTGTTCTATACATTTTTTAATTTTAAAGAGAAATTTTTTGCTACAGGGCACATGTGCTTACCAGAGAGATGGAGAGACAGAGACAGAAAGCGAGAAATTACCCCCCCTGGGGGGGGGTGGCCACAATCCCTCTTCCTCCACTCTCCCGTTGGGATTTTGGGCATGTATGTACGCATACCCAGTATGAGTTTTAAGCTGCCCAGCTGGGGACTCAAACTGCCATTGACTATGTGGGAGTCCAGCAACATAACCATTATGCCATCTGCTGGTCCCTATACATCTTAATTTTGTAATCTCCCTGAGAGAAATAAATAGGAGAGAGGCTGGATATCATCAATTTAAGAATTAACAAAAATAAAAGATAAAATAATTTACTCAAAGTAAATTTTCATTTTGATTTGCTAAATTTATTGGATTCAACTATCATGTTAAAGACTGATAAGGGATTTTTTTGTTTTTTATAATAAAACGTGCCATTCTCTACTCTCAAAATTTGTAGAAGAGATAGACAGTAACAAATAATAATACCAGGTGGCCTCATGCAAGTGGTAAGGTGCTGCTGTGCAAGGCTGGGGCCATGTGCAAGCCCCAGGTTAAGGCTGCAGACCAACCTAAACAGCCCATACCTATAATCCTATGTAACTGGGAGGGCGAGCAAAAGGATCGTGACATAGTAAGGTCCACTCCAAAATACTTCTCTTTCTCTCTCTCTTCCACTACAAAATATATATTACACACACACATATGTATATGTATGTATATATATGTATATCTATATAAACATATATATGTCTATATATGTATGTATATATACACACACACACACAAAGTGAAAAGTACACAATAAAAGCATGTACAGATACAGAAGTGGAACCAAAGGGAAAGTTGGTTGATTGATTTTCCACTGAGGGTCAAGAAGATGCACAGAAAGGCTTTCTGGGGACTTGGGAGCACAATAAAAAGACAGGGTAAACATGTGCAAAACCACAAAAGCATAGCAAAGTGATCCTGGAACCACAAGTTTAAAACAGTGGATCATGGTGGTGGTATGGTGCTTAGGACAGCTGGATTCTACATAGCTGATCACACAGTTCGAGTCCCGAACTGGTGGCTTGAAAAAACACACCAGGTACGTAAGAGTGTGTGCCCAAGATCCTGAAAGGAAAATGGAGAAGGAACTGCAGCATGATCATCCTTCACGGGGGGTGCTTTCTCACTCCCCTCTCTCCAAGACCTGCCTCATTCAGGCAGACATATATACCCTAAAGCAAAAAACTGGCAAATAAAGTCCAAAAAGGTAAGTGGTGGAAGACGAAGCTAGGTCCAGAGACCAAAACTTCAGTTAATAAGGCCTAGTACAACTGTCTTGGCAAAAGGGAACAAAGATTAGAGCTTCCCACTGCACCTTCTGACTGCCTGCCATCTTGCCTACTTCCTGAAAGTCACCAAGGAGGTCCAAACAACACAGTCTTTGTTCCTAAATAAAATTGCCAAGTTCAGCTTAAATGAGAACCTCTAACCATCTTCCCTCAGAGCCCAGTGTCAGTTTTAAGCAGCCAGTGGTCGTGTACAAGAGCTCTAGCCTTTGCAGAGCCCCAGAGTCTTCCAGAGAAGTTGGTACACCCAGCCTCTAGCATCATCCTCTCAAGTATTATTTTTCCTAAGGGGAGAAAAGAAAGAGGAACATTTTATTATCTCTATCGCTTCCTACCAAGACGTACCCATAAGCTTTATCCCCACTATAAACCAGGACCCGGGAACACTGTCCAGCTCCAAAGTGCTCTGGAAACTGCTCTTCCTAGGAGAGTGAAGAAGGAAAAGTAGGCAGAGAGCAGAGCCAAGAATGAATACCCACTGGCACATACACATACATACACACACACACACACAGTCAGGGGAAAAAAAAAAAAACAGAGTTGATAAACAGTAGGCAAATATTTAGCCAACTGGACTTGGTATGCAAAGGACTTGTCCTTATCCATGCTAACGGCAAAGACTGTTAGTGTGGATTAAATGTGGGAGATATATAACCTGAAGAAAACATGAGCCTTCTCTGCAAGGTAGAAGGCATTTATTGTAGCAGAGGAACACGCATGTACATAGAGAGAAGTGTGTTCTTAATTCATACATGAATAAGTGATGTCTAACTGTGTTATGATGTCAACATTGATTACACAATTTGGAGTAAATGCCAAGGCTCGACTGATTGAGCTAAATCCAGTTAATGCTTGCTTCAACCCAACTGAGAGATCATTCAGGTTGCTGGTACCCCTTTCTCCCCACAGCAGCCTACATTTGGCCCCACCATTGGTGTCTCTACCAAAGCAGGTGGCAGAAGCTAGCTGGTCCAGGTGACTGCATGCTTATCTGATGAAATCCAGACAGGTTTAGTATAGGTTGGGTTTCCAAATGATGAAGAATTTTAAACTCATTAAACTGCTATTATCACCAATTGCCAAGACCAATGTCTATGGTATGTAATTCTTTTCTGTCCCTTGAGAAAGTCTGATGTGCCAAGTAGGACAACCAGAGAACCAGTCCTTACAGGGAAGCGAGGTTTGATGAAGTTTCCATGCAAAGCGCTTAACGGCTATCACAAAAAACTTTGTTCTTAGCAGTATCTTAGCCTTTAAATGCTGTTTGCTTATGTTTCCATTGATATTTACAAACCTTTATTTTCTAGCACCCACTAATAGAAAGAAATCTATCAAAAACACACATCTCTTGTCAAAGAATTCATTCCTGAGAGAACTGAGAGATGGTCTTGGGCTACAGACAAGCATGTTAGTCTTGAAGACAGAGCAATGTGAAGCAGCAGTCTTGAAGGAGTGATTTTTTGTTTGTTTTTATTTAATTTGGCTGAAGAAGGGAGCATCTATTAAAATAATATAGGAAGGCAGATCTTCCTTCACTCCAAACTTCCAGCATTAGTCAGAGCACTGTGGGATTCAGTTCACGCCTATTTTAAATGTTATTAAAATATACCTGGAAGCATGAATTTTTCTTTCCATAATCCTTCTAAGATATTACATTGTAAATCAAATCAAAAGTCCAATTAATGACATCCAATTAAAAAACAGATTAAGAGACTCAGAGAGAGCACCACTCTAAGATTAATGAAAGTGTTATTTCAACATGAAAATTACCTTGGAACTTGTTACCAAATTTTGGAACATTAATTATCTCTGTTATTTTAAGCCCTGCCTTTAAAAAGTTACTTCTTCTACTTCTTTTTCTCATACTTCATGACAAAGCCACCAAATTCCTACCTAATTATATAATTATCTTCAATTTAAAATATATATCCAATAATTTAAAATATGATGCTCTGAGCATTAGGAACTAACCAAAGCATTTTCAACAATAAATGTCCAATATTAAATAAGCAAATCAAATCAGAAAAGTTATTCTCATCTAAATAAATTGATTCTCTGTAGACTGAGGACTTTGGAAGACACAAATATATCAAGAAATACATAATTTTTAGCAGACATCCCAAGCCATCTCTACATACCTGTGTAAGATCTGCAGCCTGCTGTAGGATGCTTTTTTTTAATTGCTCTGCTCTCTTTGCATGAAAGGAATTACTTTGACTCTGGATGACAAATACAATTCCTTTTAAGTCTAGAACAAAAAAAAAGTTTTCAGGTATTTCTTTTTTAACAATAGAAATAAACTTGAAAAAATTTAAAAGAAAAAGACAACTCTAAGACATGCCTTCAGGCAATAAACTCTAAGGGGGAAAAAATCAATTTATATGCAATTCTAGAGACAAATCTTCTCTTTTAAATTGTTTTCAAAAACCTCCCTTCTAGAAGTTAGACAAGTAAATAAACTCACTATACCAGGCCAAGTCTATGGTAACAAACTGTGAATTTGCTCCCATGTCTGTCCAAAAGAATAACCATAAATATGCAAAAGTATAAAAATGCCTATAACACTAACCTCCTTTGCTGTTGAAAATCAAAAGTTTATAATTACTCTTTAACAATTTTCACATAATCCTACACTGCCCTGCTACCAATTATGGGTTGGATTATGTACCCCAAAATTCACATACTGTAGTCCTAAACCTAGTACCTCAAAATTGGACCTTACTTGGAATTGAGTTTTTACAGAAGTAATCAAGTTAAAGTGAAATCACTGGTGTGGGCCCTAATCCAACATGACTGATATCCCTACAAAAGAGGAAACTGGACACAGACACAGACACATAGAGTAAAGACAATGTGAAGACGATCATTGACAAGCCAAGAAGGACCTGGAATAGACCCTTCCCTTAGGGCCCTCAGAAGGGATCAACTCTGGACTTTCAGCCTCCAGAACTGTGAGACAATATGCCTATTGTTAAAGTGACAGCTTGTGGTACTTGATTATGCACCTCTAGCAAACTAATACACTAGAGTTCAAGAATGTTCCAGATTGGCCCTTTAAGGTAACACTCAACAGTTACTGCAGATATCCCATGAGTTCACAGGGGTGTGCAAATAAATAATGCAATAATCCCTACCCTAACTCACAAAGCGCCTAGTCAGAATTAAGTGGTATCTTTAGGAAACCAGCCACAACAGTCCACAGCAGCAAGGCTGTAGCAAAAAGTGTTGGAAAAAAAAAAACAGCAACACTACCACACCAGCAAAACTCACCAGCCCACTAGAGACTGGTCTCTAGGCAGCTAGCCTTTTATGATGGCAAGTTGGGGGGGGGGTGTTGGAATGCTAATATGTCAGACCCTCCTGGCTGGGTAAGACCACCAGAGGTCTTGCCAGTAGCATGGTTGCTCAGCTCACACACTGGAACAGCACATTAGGCTTCCCCAGGTTCGAGTCTGTAATAAAGAAATAGATACAAACAGCCATTGTGTCAGCACCCTGACACCAGATGGGATGCTGGCTGACAAAAGGTAGACGTCACATAAACGTAGCCTCCAGCTAGGTTTATAGTATATCAATGCGGGGACCTTCTTCTCACCTTGAGCCTTTTACTTTAATACCTCAGCCCAGGGACACTAATTTGATTTTAACTTTATTCCATTATATTTTATTGTTCTTAAGTTCAGTTCTTTTTTTTTTTTCAGTCGTTCAGTGTACATCAATACAGTATACAAAATGAGATTTTCCATCCAGAATACATTGTATATTGGCTCAATCAAGGATATTACCATAAATGTTATCATCAACAAATAATTTTCTATTTCTTGTTTCTTATATATTTTGCTTTTTTTCCCCCTCTTTGACTCCCTACTTCTCACCCTCTGCCAATTCTCCCCCTTCTCCCACACTGTCTCTTTTATGTACAGTTGTTTCCTATGCCTTTTTTTTTTTCACATTTGACTGATCCACTAAAGATCTTAATTAACTTAAAAACTTCCAATAGCAAGCACAACTGATATGTTCATATATATATATATATATATAACACATGTCTAATTCTGGGCATAAACCTTAGTGAGTAAAGTAAATATACTGTAAAGGAGCACCTTGCTGGGGCCATATAGCTTACCACAGTCATTAAATAGGTATTAATAGGCATTTTTAATGCATTTTTTATTTCAAGAAAAACAGTTTTAGTTGTAATAGATAAAAATTTAAAAATGTTAAGAGAAATTTACTTAAAGTTTAAAGCCAGGAAAAAGGTTAGGATTCAGTTCAAATAGTCTGTAGATAAACCTATCAACAGTTCAAGAGAAGACAAAAATCCTTCAATAATGAAATCAAAGCATTGAAGAAAATCGGTAACGTTTTAGTCTATAGTCAAAAAAATTCTATTTCACTAGTTCAGACTCATGACTAACCTCTCTGCTATTGAATTTGCAGTGTTACTATGGTCTGATCTTTCCATTTAAACTCTAAAAGTTAACATTTAACTCTGAACTCGTCCCTACTATGAGGCTAGCCATTCTCTTGGCACTTCTTGGAGAGCTGGTCTGGTGTTGGTAAATTCTTTCAGGTTTTGTTTACCTGAGAATGTTTTTGTCTATTTTTTCCCATATGAAGGACAATCTTGCTAGGTATCTCATTCTCGGTTGAAATTGTTTTTCACTTAATACTTTGAATATGTTTTCCCATTCTTTCCTTGCACGCGCCGTTTCCAATGAAAGGTCCGACGTTAGCCTTATGGGATAGCCTTTGAAAGTAATTTGACATCTCTCTCATGCCAAATTTAGTATCTTGTCTCTGTCTGTGGTTTTGGTCAATCTGGCTATGATGTGCCTGGGGGAAGATCTTCTTGGGTTGAGCCTATGTGGGGTCCTTTGTATTCCTTGGGACTGGATGTTTGAGTGTGTTAAGTTCAGTTCTATGGCTCCATTCTTTTATTCACTCACTCTAATATTCATACAACAGATAGCTCCACAGTGAGCCATCTAGATCCTAAAAATAATGCAAAGTGCTCTTTGGTCAAAACTCAATAAAATTGTTTTTAAATGCTGAACAATACTGAATACAACGTACTTCCTTTTCTTTAGGAATTTATATACATATGAACATTCCATATACTCTTTTTATTTTAAATTGGTTTCTTGGGCCTATACATAAGATACATGGATAAGGCTTAAAAGAGCATTTTTTAAAAAAGAATTATTTATTTAACTGTATTTAGTTAGTTATTTTTTAAAAAAAAAGAATTATTTATTTAACTGTATTTATTTAGTTATTTTAATTTGACCAGAAAGAGACAGAGTGAGAGAGGGAGGGAGGGAAAGTGAGAAAGCAAGCTGCTAGGTCCAGGACTGGAACCACGGTCCGCCATGTGAGAGCCCAGAGTTCTCAACTACCTTGCCACCTGTTGACCCCCTAAATGAGCATCTTAAGTTTCAATAGAAATGCTACTTTTAATCTACTACATCTGAAACATGAATATAAAACTTACATATCTGAGAGGAGTTAGAAAGATTTCTTTTTGTTAAGTATGAAGTAAATAAGCTTCAGAGAATTATTTTTGTAAAATGTAATGAAGTTGAATATGCACATTCCCAATTAAGCAGAAATTTTACTCCTACTAATGATCCTTGAGAAACTCTCACATGGGTATACAAAGATATATAACAAGAATGCTCACAGTGGCATTGTGTAAGAGGAAAGAACTGGAAGCAACCAAATATCTACTAACAAGATATATGAATTAGAACACTACACAGCAATAAAAACTAACTAGCACTACGTGTATCAATCCAGATGGATATTGTAGATAAATCCCACAGATAGGATGCTTAGAAGAGTTATAAAATAATAACTATATAAGTCAATAGTTTGCACAAATATAAACACATATACAAACTTATACTATACACATATGTTCATATCTGTAAATGTGTAAAGGATTACATGGGCATTTTAAATACCAAAGCAGAATACTGGTTAAAAGAGTTCAGCTGTATTAATAACATTTTTATCTCTTAATGTAGGTGGTAGATATGTTGATATTCATCATATTACTCTTTGTAACTTTATATAAGCTTAAAATATTTTATAATAAAATTTTTAAATGAGCAGGACTGTGAAAAGGTTAATCTATGACCACCACAGTAACCAACTCTTGCCACTTCCACTAGCTCAGCAAAGCCACATTAACAGCTCCTCCAGAAACAGAAAGGGCTTTGCAAGAAGAGAAGAAGCAATTATCCCCCTTTCCATATCCCTGGGTCATGCTCTGAGTTGTATTTGTCCATCTCTCTTTGACATAACGACCAAGAAATCACACTGGCCCCTTCCTTTTTACATAGTTCAATCATGCGTATTACATGTATTCATTGAGCAAACATCTTCTCAGTGCAAGGTTCTGGGGTAAAAAAATGAGTAAGTGTGACTGCAGCACTTCAATGGCTGAGCCTAGTTCAGAAGAAAGGCCATTACAAATACAGAGCTGGGGTGAAGTGAGAGATGCTTCTGGAGCGGGAGGTGGGCAAGTGCAAGGGCAGCTTCAGGAGGAGGAAAGAGGCGTTCCCGAGCTTCCTTTAAAAAGCAGCAGTTTTCTGCTGACTCCTGCAGAGAAGTAGCAGATCAGTGGCAGAGAAAGCAGTGGGGTTACGAAAGCCAACTGCCTTATTTCTGCAGCTTTCCTGAGGAGACCACTAGGGAGCCTGCTGGGCATTTCTGAGAAAAGGATGGTGGGACAGAAGAGTGAGAAAGTAAGAGAGGGAGGCAGAGTCAGCCAAATCAGATCATGAAGGATTTATATGCCACATTAAGAGGCTTGGGCTGGGGACCAGCAGATGGCGTAGTGATTACGTCCCACATGGTTGACAGTGGTTCAAGTCTGGATCCAGTGACTTCAAACACATCAGGGGCATGTGTGTGTGTGTGCCTAAAATCCCGAGAGGAAACTGGAGAAGACATTGTGGTGTAGCCACTCCCCCCGGCATGTGCCCTATAGCAAAAATCTCTTTAAAAATAAAAAAAGAGAGAGAGAGAAAGACTTTTACTGTAGATTAATCATTTCAAACTGGGAAAGGGCCACAGAACCCAGGTGGGGCCCAAGCAGTAGGGCCTTTCTAGAGGAGGAGATAAGGACACTATGTCCTACGGACAAGCAAAAAAGGGGTAGAAAGACCTTCTTCACAGAGGGAGCAGTCCAAGTATGGAACAGGGGGTCAAATTTAGAGCCCTGAAAATATTAACAGTTAA